CTCATAGAGGCCACCCAGCTATTCTCTACCCGGACCACCATACTGACGCTCTGAGCATCAAGCCTGCAAACTTCCAGCAATGGTGAGAAAGCTGTGAATGTTTACCTCGCATTTATAGACATATTTTTGCACCCTTTACAAAGGCCTGACACCCCAAGATGATGATATTTTTCCATTTGGAGGGACATTTGAATAACATATAAAGTTTTGCTCCATACAAAAATTATTTTGGTGTAAGGAATCTCCAAGGAAACCCTTCGCTTTTCCTTTCTCCTAAATGGCTTGCTGTTGTCCGACTATTGGCTTATATACTCCTAAAATCCACTCCTTCAAAGCAGTCTTCGCATCTGGGAGTTAAAGGCAGATTTGGGAGTTAGACCACCTGAGTTCAAATCTTGGTTCTACCGCTTACCAGATGGGCGGCCTTCGTTCTGTGACTTACCCTCTCTGTGGCTCGGTTTTTATTTTGATAAAAATGGTAAAAACGTAACTTTATAGAGTTTTGTACAAGGATTAAAACAATTGTCATGTATGACGCACTTAGGAGGCACACAGGAAAAGCACTTACCATTGTTTATGATTGTTAGGCATAGTATTTGTAATTACTCACAATGATTAGAAAGCAAAGTTTAGTGACATGACATTAAGCCATTCTGAAGGTCCTGGCCTTGCTGTCTGTCCAAAATTATCTTATTATTTTTTAAAACTTTAATCTTATTGTTTGACTTCATGAACATTCTGACCAGGCTTTCCTTTCCCCATCTCCAAAGGCAAGATCCAGTTCTAAAAAACCTTTCCAGAAACTTCTACTGCCACATGAGCGCTTCAGACTTCTTGAGCTGCTAGACAAGGTCCAAACATTTCAGACTTTGCGGGCCAGATCCTGCTGTTGCAACACGAAGGCAGCCACGATCCAAAGAACCAAATCAGCATAACTGTTTCGATGAAGATGTATTTATAAAAACAGGCGGCAAGTCAGATTTTGTCCCCAGGTTGTGGTTTGTCCGCCACTGTATTAGAGGAAGAGGCAGAAGGGCAGGTGATTGTTTTGGGTGGGGTAAGACCCTGACCACCAAGAGAAAGAGGTTTGCTGCTACACAGTGGGGCTGGAGGGAGGATGATAAAAACCCAGAATCCCCACGACATGTCTCGAATCCACATGCCACTAGACCAGTAGGACCAGAGGGAGCGGGAGACGGCAGCCACCCCACATCAGCAGGTCCTCCACGAGATAGATCTTTCTAGAACAAAGTTCTCTTTCCTGGGCCATGAACACCAGCCAGCCCAGGAAACTACTGGTCCCAAGACCAGATGTAGCATCTGGGTCTGTAACTCCCACCCGTATTCCCTTTCTTGTTCTCAGAGTGTCTGGAGACTGAATTATCTCCTTTTCCTTTTTTATGTCGCCCTGGAAGATGACTGTGCTCATAATTTCTATCGTCCTTCTTTCTTTGCCCTGATCGTTGATAATGGTGTTTATCAAGCTCGGCTATCAGCGCCACCTGAGGAGCTGCTGAACCTTTAGATTCTACGTCCACCATGTGGGCCCTAAGTCACACCACAGAAAGACAGGCTGCAGACAGAACTCGAGGGGAAACGGGCACGGCCTTGAGAGCCGAGCTTACATCCTTAGTTGTGCCGGCTGGACACAACGCAGGGTTGCCGCCTACTGAGGGAGCGGTGTGCACACTTACAAGTGTGTGTAGGGTGACTGGACGGAGTTCCACGAGGTGTCTTTGTAAAAAGGGATGCTGTGTACGCACAGGCACGCTGGGCACTGGGAGAGTAGAGTGTGAGAGCTGCCTGCTGGGCGCTTCTCTGGGAACTTCCGGCCCATGTCCAGGGTGGGGGGGCGGGGATCATCCGCCATTCCGGTCTTGCTGCAGGATCTGCCCCTCCCCCCCGCAACCGACTGGTTCAGAGACCCTAACTGGGCTAATCAGATATCCTATAATGAGTTTAGCATGGCAAGAGGAGAGACACAGAGATGAGGAATTCTCTGGATCTCATGGAAAAATCCATGAACTCTTGCTGCCAAGGCCACACGGCCAGCCTTGTTCCCTCCCTCCCTGAGTCCTGAGCAGTCAGCTCTTCTTTGAATTCTATAACTACCCCCAAATCCTTCCAATGAGTTGTCTCCCTTGTTTTGTTTTGTTTTGTTTTGTTTTTAAAGTGGTATGCAAGTAAAGGCTGGGGACCAAAACTGGATTCAGAAACGAGGCTAGAGACGTACCCTTCACGCCCCTTGTACAAAGGCAGCTCTGAGACAGCCAGCAGGTAACAGGGCTGTGACGTGATCAGTGTCCACTGCAGACAAAACAACCCAATTGCTCACAAGTTCAGCTATTCTTGGGACCAAGGCTGGACAGGAATTGTCTCCCCGGGGCCTTGTGGAATGAACAACGTCTTTGTGATGCTCTACCAATGGACACAGTGGGTCTCACGGGCTGCTTCCCGTAAAGACCCTCCATGCAGACTGATGAGTGACATTACTCTCAGGCTCCATCATGTGAAATCAGTACTGGGGCAGCAGGGAGAAATACACAGTCTGGGGACCTTGATCCAGGAACTGATTCAAGTAGGAGCAAAAAGACAGCATAGCCTCCAAGCACACCTCCTTCAAGCACACTTGCAGACCAAGTGGCAAGAAGCCCAGGTGATCCTCCTCCCAGGGAAGTAGGGCACCTTCCCCTGGAAACAGACCTTCATTAATGACAGGCCTGGCAGGGTTGGCTTCCATTTGGGGAAAGCCAAGGTCCTGGGCTCGATGGTTCAAGGGCAATGGTGTGGGCAGTTACCTTGGGGCCAGGCCTACTCTGGTGTGAATATCCCCTCCCGGGGAGCTTCTGTGGAGAAGCCAAGCACCCACCCCCACCTAATCAATGCTGTCTTCGTGAGCAACCACAGCCAACCAGGGCCTTCCTGAGCTCAGTCTACAGCTGCCTGGCCAGATGGTAGGGAGAAGCCCTGACAAGCTTTCCTACTCCATAACATCTTAGGAGACAGAACTTTGAGACAGTGTTTTCTGGCAAAGAACATTGAAGAGCCTTTTAAAATGCCCAACAGAAAAAGGCAGCATGGACTCCTGCTTCCCAGGGAGCTGAGAGGCCGGCCCATCCTCACCAGCCAACATCCCACCCTCCCTGATCCCGTATCTTGGCTGTTCCTTTCTCCCTTCAGAAATGACCTTGGTCTTCACAGGCTGGCCACTCTACACCCACAAATCCTCTCCATCCCCAGCCCATCATGACGTGACCTGTCCATCTTGGCTTTTCCTACATAACCCGTGGACTAGCATTGACGGTGTCCCACCAGTTCATGCCTTTCCAGGAGCCTCAGAATGTGACCTTTCTGAAAGGAGGGTCATTGCAGACGTAACTCACTAAGATGAGATGACATCATACTAGAGTAGGATGGTCTGTTAACCCAAGATTTAGCTCTTACAAGAAGAGCAGAGACCCAAAGACACAGACACACGAAGGAAAGATGCCATGTGATGACAGAGGGAGAGACAGGGTTGGGAATGATGCTTCTCTAAGCCAACGGGCACCAAGGGTTGCTGGCACCACCAGAAGCCCAGAGGAAGACGCGGAACAGATTCTTCCCGAGACCCTTCAGAGGGAGCACCACCCTAGTGACACCTTGAATTTGGACTTCTGGCCTCCAGAAATGTGGGGGTATACATTTCTGTTGTTCAAACCACCCAGTTGTTACGGCAGCTCTGGGAGGCTAGTACAACCTAGCTCTGTTATAACCAACACAGGCGTGATGCCGCCACTGAAGACACAAGACATCCTGATGTAGACCTGCCTGCCGTCCCCTCTTCTTAGAGGGTATTTGAGAGTTTCAGGATCTCTGTCAAGGAAGCTGGGGATGCTCTCTAGAGCAGTAGGACACGCTGTGTGTCAGTGCCCGGACACGCCCCTCCTTACTGGGCTTTGCATACATGATTCCCAACTGCATGTCACTCAGTAATGTTTGCTGCAGGGCCACTCTGTCCCATGACACTTAGGAATTTACGCTTAGGTCCAGTCATTGAGGGGGATGATGTTAGGGGTACTAGCAACAATAGCTCACACCACACAAAAAAGGAAAAGAGCCCCCCTCCCTTTCCTTCTAAGTCACGGAGACTGAATTTGCACTCTGTGCCTTGGCCGTGCCAATCAAGTGCTGCTTTATTCTGCAGATCCTAAGTGTACATGCAATCTGGGAAGAAAGGAAGACGACCGCACACCTCTGATGCCCAAGGGCAAGTTTGTTTTCCAAATCACTGCCGTCCCAAGTAGGAGCTTTCTGCATCATCAGAAAGACTCAGAAGGCATGGGGAGATGCCTAAGACACGGGGAAGGAGAAAATCAACTCCCTCTACTTCACGGTTTGCCTCTTATACTTCCAGTTATGATCAACAGTGCTCAACTGAGAGTATTTTCTCTTCAGGTCACAGATACTCATGTGCCTAAAGAACTCTCTCCTAAACCCACATTCCCTTCCCTCGTTTCTCTAGTAAATCAACTCTAGCTGCCCAGCGCCCCAAACAGAAAGTCAGGATCTGCCAGAAATAGGTCCATTCAAAACCTGCAAAACCATGCCACAAGTAGTTAAGGGCCATGTCTGGCAGAGCAAACCAAGGTCTGGGCCCTCTGGCCCCGGGTATGCGCTGAAGCTTAGCTTGCTGCCGCTACTGATTTCAGGGAAGGCTATGGGCCCAGATTTCATGCGGCTGTCCTTACAAGTCACACTGTGAGTGTTGGGATGTTTGCAGTTACCCCCACACCGACGGCTTTGTGTAGGAAGAAAGTGACGGGGGAAACCAACCATGTTCTGGAGAGACAGCTGTCCTTGGGGGAACAGACAAGACACATGCACTCAGCACCAAGTCACAAATCACTGACAGCCACCCGGCCAGCCCGGGCGCCCTGCAAATGGCACCATGGCCCATTGGCCCTAGAAGGTCCCCAGCAGCCCAGCACCCACCTGAAACAATAGCATCAATGTCTTACTTTTTCTGGAGCGGGAGAAGAACCTGATGCCCCCGGGTGAGGTAGACGGGTTGGAGTTGGGGGAAGATTCTTTGGATGAAGAGCGAAAGATCCCACTGAAGCTCATTCGGCGTGGGGAGCGGGGTGGGGACTCCTGGTAGGAGAATGGGAACACAGTTTTGGGAGAGCCAGGGCTGGTCTTGGGCCTCACGGGAGCAGACACGGGGCTGGAGGGCCGGTGCTGGGGGCCTCTAGAGAAGAACCCTTTGGAGGGGCTGCCCGAGCTGCAGGGGCTGTCCACCTGGGGAGAGACAGACAAACGGATGGGTCATTCCGAGCACAGGCACTCAGCCCTAAGCCCTGAACGGATCCTGTCCCTCCCAACGTTCTCCAACATCAGGCTGCTCCTCCAAGGCACCCTGCCCCCAGAAACAGCCCTGAGTTCTTGTACAAACATAGGTGGCCACCCCGTGGTCTGGAGGAAAGCACCCGACCCGAGGATGGCCCATCCCCAGGCTCGTCAGCACCACCCAGAGGCCCACTGACCTCCATCCCCAGCTCTCTAGAAAGAGGTTCCTGGAGCGGAGGGGAGGAAAGGTAGCAAGCTGGCTCGAGACGATGCATCCTCTCTATAGATCTGTCCCCTGGCCTTTACTTCTTAAGGCCTGACATTTTTCTTTCTCGAGGTCTTACTACACTGGCGTGATGTTCTCTTGGCCCTCACTGAAGGAGGAAACGGGCATCTGAAACCCAGTGGGCCTTGGGCTCCGGCCTGAGGTGACCTGGCGCTAGGCAGTATGAATTTCCCCTCCAAGCTGCTGTGGCATTGGGACAAGGGGTTGCTGACAGAGCTCAGGAAGAAAGTGAACAAGGCCGAAAACCTTGGAGGCGCACTTCATTGATGACATGACCTTGACGGTTTGAGAAACGTCTGGACTCCGTCTATCACTTTAAGCCGAGGCCCACAGCTCACAGACTTTGAGGAATATCGAATGTGTCCTGCTGCGGGGCTCAGGGGCTGTCACTTACAGCCTGAGGGGAAGGGTTTGACCCCAGCTCACCCCCACTGGGCCATCCCGAGTCAGTCTCGCCGTGCCTGTTTCCTTATCCGTAAGACCGGGTGTCGTGCCCACCCATGATGCACAGGAACCATGCTCTGCACGTCCAGCTGCTGTGGCAAACTTGCAACACGGGGTCCAGAAGGACCTCAGGGCCCACCTGATCCCACAGAAGGAAAGAATAGTGACTTGTCTGCAGGGCTCATGGGGCACAGAGGATGCCGGGCAGGGAAGCAGCCAGCACGCTGAGACCCTGGGATGCCACATGGCAGGTGGCCACAGGTGCACGAAGGTACGTGAGCCCATGCGCCCAGAGGCAGCATCTGTGCAGCTCTGGCCTCTGTCTGCACGGGGTGCCTGTGGGGGGCCCAGGGCCCCTGTGAGCTGTCCCACCACCAGAGGGCACCCCAAACTGGGCTTGCGGCTCCTTCCAGGAGGCCGTGCCCTCGTGGGGACCCCCTTTAGATGTGACTGTGGACGTGGGAGGTGGGGGTATGGGGCAGGGAACAGCACACAAGGGATGGAAAATGACCCTACAGCACACAAGCAAGGAGTCTAGACACAGGGACTGGAGTTGGAATCCCGGCTCAGTTTCCGGCAGTGCGGACAAGTGACTTAAGCTTCAGGGTCCTCCTCCAACCAGTGGGGCTACGAGGCCGACTCAAAGGGTCTGTGGCTGATGGGATCTACGACAGGGAAGCATCTGGTACACTTTCTGGCACGTGGTAAGTCCTCCATGCGTATTTGATCCACGCTCCTCGTCATGAATTTGGAAGGAATAGTTGCTTGATATTCGTGGAAGGTCAGGGAGGCCGGGCCGAATTATGGAAGGATGCCACATGTGGTGTAAGAACCTCACTCTTCTTTGAGGCTTTTTAGCAAGGGAGTGGCACAGTCAGATTCGTGCAGGGCAGACCATCTGGTAGCCTCTCCCATCACTTGCCGAGGGCCACTAGCCTGAAGCCAGGAGAAGGGGCCAGCTGGGGGCAGGGTGAAGGTCACAAAGCTGCTAAGTGGTGGCATGGGACCTCAGGGCCCATGGTCTTAACCCTTACACCATATCCCTCCTGAGAGCGGCAGAAATAGCTGGGAGGGAGAGCAGCCTGGCAGACGCAAAATGGAGTCAAGGTCAAGTCTGAGGGCAGAGGCAGAGAGTCACGTTTAGGAACTACTAGCAAAGCTAACCCCACAGGGGAGCCCCGTGTTTGCCATGCTCTGCACGGTGCTGGGAGCTCTTGCAGGGAGAAGGCAGGACCATGAAGCAAGTGCTCATGTTTGAGTCTGGCGGGGCACAAGACGGGAGGATGGCAGGCCAGGCGTGGCTGCCATGAGCACGAAGCTGACGAAGAAAGGGTGACCTGGACACAGTCAGAGAAGACCCTGAAAGCTGATGGGCTTTGGACAGGCTGATGGGCAGAGGGCAACCAGAGCCTGAGAAGGAGGAGACAGAACGGGAAGCACAGAGAGCCACTTTCTTGGGCCACCACAGACCGGTGGGGCCAAACGCCACCGGGGAACCAGTCACAGAGGGCTTTGAGTGCTGGCTTGAACCTCCCTCGATAAACCAGGGGGAACTCTAGGGTTCTCCTGCCTGGGAGCCCATTCTGTACTGAGACTTCCAGGCCAACTGGGTCAGGCACTGAGGAGGGAACCCACAGAAAGTAGACCTTTCCCCTAAAAAGACCAAATAACGGTAGACACAGCCTGGCTCAGCCTTCTCCCACGGGGGGAACGGGGAGAGCCTAATCGTGCTCCCCAGCGGTGGGAAAACAAGATGGCCAAGCATGCCCACCGTCTGCTCCCTGCCCGCTGGGTGGGGGTGATGCCGATCCGGGTGCCAACAGAAGCTGCCAGGGACAGGGCCTCGGCTCATGCCTGTTAGCAAGCTGCAATCAAACAGAACTTTGATAAATGTCATTGGATGACTCCCTGCATTTGGATGAACAAAAGGGCCCAGAGACCCCCAAGTGGGTGCAGGCTGTGCAGGAGCTAATGGGGGGTGATCTGGAGATCCTGGCATTGACTGTCCCCCAGAGGCTGGCCTGGGAACCGCACACCTCAGCTGTGCAGGGCCAAGTGGACCAGAAGCTCCTCACAGACACACAGTATCTGACAAAGAGCTGCCACCTCGGCGGGGGGGGGGGGGGGGGGGGGGGGGGG